AGAACAAACGATCAAAAATCCTTCAAGATGATGATTTAACCATAAAAATGTCCACTATCTGAAGAAATCACAGCGGTGGCTAGAGCACAAACAGAGCGATATTCAAGCAGACGGACTGTTTCAGAAATGGAAATATTCCCCCACATTCGTTTTCAATCATTTGCAGTTATGTCTTTCAACAACCCACTGACAGCATGCAAGATTTCACCGCCGTAAACAGTTGCTTTAGAATCTAACCAAAATACTCAACAAAAATGGTCCCCATCTGATCATCTGTATGCTTGAGACCCTCAATTGGGATGCACGATTTTAATGACTAAACATTTTGATGTAAACTGCGACTTCAAAATACTTTCATACGATGCGATGTCTGTTTGATGCAATTTAATGTAATTGACATTGGTCTGAAATAATTAACTTGACCATGATTTTATGTCTCTTACGGTTACGGTTTACCAAATTTTGGAATCCATGAACAAAACGGAATTTTTATTTTGATAATTGTTGAAAATGCCAAATGGTATCCACTCGAAACAAGAAATGAATCAAAGATTTAAGAGAGAATGAATTCAAAACGACCATGAATAGCTACTGTACTCACCTGTAACTCGCTAAATCAGGTTCATTCAGAAACTCTCGCAAAAGCATACCGTCGGTCATGTATTTGATGACTGTCTTCTCTGAAGTACAATCTTCAAATCGAATCGAATAGCCCACCTTAACGCACCAATTGATTAAGATCGCAATCTCTTCATCAAAATTTCTACTTTTCATTACAGACAAACCTGGTACCGAAATAATTATTGTTTTCGCATTGTTATGGACAAGTCAAGATGCCAAAATCCTCAGTTTCAATATCAATCTAATCCTATAGCTTTTGACAAAAAATTAAATATTATGAAAAAAGTCCTGCGAGTAACACACTTTGGAACTAAACAAACTGTTTTGAATAAATAATTAATTATTCCCTAAAAAATAACCTGATTCTACACAGAAGACACAAATTTTCCACAATACAACAATTCGGAAAGAGGTTATTTCTCTTAGAAAAAATCTCAATGAAGAGAGATTTTTTTGCAAAACTCATAATATGATTATAGGTTAAAACCGAAATTCGAAAACTAGTTAAAAATTTGAAAATGAACCGAAAATAAATAAAACCTCAATTCCGAGCTTCACGTCCATTTCTTCGGCAACCCTCGACGCCACACTCATCGCAGCCACTCGCCTCGGTTGTGTGCATCCTATACGCTTCTTATCCGAACAGAATCCCTTCAATTAGAAAACAATTATCAATGAACAATTAATCTCATTGGGAGTTGCTTGCTAACATCCATCCTTTATGAAATTGCGTGCTCATACGCAAGCATATCACTAGTCACGAATACAGCACTTTCATAAGCCATACAAAATCTAATGGCATCAAACATAATCACAGTTTGCTTTGCCATCTACCAATATTTTTAATCTCGTTATTCCAGAATGTCCCCCTCCAACAATGCTTTAATTTATGTCATTAACCTAAAGCTTCTCGTAGTCATCCGAGTCTAGGCTTCTCAACCAAAAACTCACTAGAAAAATTATCATTTTCAATCGTCAGGAAATCTGCCTTTTCAGTAATGCATTCTACATTAAAAACTTTGCATTCGATGAGAAAGAAATAAA